GGGAGAGGGGCAGGAAAGGGGGAAAGGGGGGTTGAGTGGATAGGGGTAGGGAAGGGAGTGGATGAAGTAGAGGAAGGAGAGAAAGGAGAGGAATGAGAGAAAAACCAGAAAGTCGCAAGCCGACTCCTCCGCCGCGGATCTACTCTCCATCGCTTCGTTCTTCACTAGAATCCGTAGACCAACTAGTGCTCAAGCCACCCCTGAGCACCTACGACAAAAAACAAGCAGCAGCAGCAGGCAAGGAAGAAGGACGCGAAGCAGATGGTGCAGCAGAGCAGACATGCGAAGCGCCTGGCCGAAAACCGAAGAAACACGCCCTCCGAGAGGCAAGCAATCACCAGCGCACTAGCTATGGCGAGATTAGGAAGCAGGGCAAGGAGAAGGAGGAGTACGAAGGCGACGCTTCGTGCTGGCGGGGGGGGCAGGCTGGCCGGAGCAGGTTCGGCGGGGCAGGTAGAGGCCGTATGCATGATGCCCAGCCTCGGAGCGCTCAGGCCCCGGGGTATGGTCACAGAACCGGGAGGGTGCCGTCGTCCAGCAATGTTACCACTTCCTCCTCGTTCCTCTGCTCCTCGTCTAGGTCCCAGTCTGCAAAGAAGTCCATATCGTCCGCCGATCTCACCACCCTCCGCGATCGCGAAAAAAACAGCCTTCTTGTTGGTCATATGTTGAACGCACGGTGTTCCGATGAATAGAGCCCCTGCGTACTATTTAGATATAGCCGCGGTACGGGTTCCTAAACTACAGCCTTCCGATACAAGCTATCGCCACTATTCATCCATTTACGCATGCCTATCCAACATATAGGAAAAAAGAAGGAAAAACAAAAAAAGGAAAAAGAAAAAACAATAGGAAAAAGGAAGGGTAAACTTGAAAGGACTAAACGAATGGTAGGCCGATCAAACATCGAATTCAAATTACTGCGTATGGCGGGGTAACGATCCTGAAGGTCCCCGTACCCCATGAGTTATTCGTCACAATCCGAGAGCGAGCTACTCTCCTTGTCTAAGAATCGGCGCGCGAGGGTTAAATTCTCATTTGGCCGGGGTAGCGCGCTCTGCTACTCCGCCGATTCAAGCGTAGGAACCAAGGAAAATAGAGCAAACAGACGAAGAGGGGGAGAGGGGAAGGGGGGAGGGGGGAGGGGGGGAAGAAGAGACAAACAGGGAGAGACCAAAGA